CATGACATCCTACCTACAATTTGTGTCCTGTGTGGCATCCTGCATGGTGTCCTAGGTGTATTATGCTAGGTAAGACTCATATATCTGTTTGTTTAACTTTGTATAAATTTAAGTGTCTGTTTGTAACACACTCAAAGTTGGAAGGCATAAATGTGAAATTAGATATAGTTAAATGACCCATTTATGTATTATAATAGAATTATTTGGGAAAATAACATTTTAATCCTTGTGTTATTGTATTATTCTTATTTTAGTCCTCATGATATTTAGTTAGCACATTTGACCTTCAATTAAGTAATGCTTATGATTTTAGTCCTTCAATTAACTGACATCAAATAAAATAACTGTGTTAAATGGCAGAGGAGCAAGTTAGGTACTTATATTTCTAGTGTGATCATACTCCATGAATTATTCAACATTACGATGCAGTAAAGGGAAAACTCATAAAACTAAGGAGACAATGTACTTTTAAGGGGTTGTTTGGTATAAACATTGATAACGCAGGGATTAGTAACACATGAATTAGTAATGCAGGGATTAACCATGCAGGGATTAGCAAGAGTCTTAACAAAGGGAACCAAAATTTACATCAACATGTAGCCCTACAGACAACCATGACAACCAAAATCTTAGTAACATTACTAAACTACTGGAGTTAACAATGGTTTGTTCTGAAAGTGAGCTTCTAAGTTACCAATGACAATGTCAGCCATCGACTCACGTGTTTCCTCTGTACCACTAGCTACATGAGGCAACAAGACCACATTCTCAAGGCCAAACAGCTTATCAGGTACTTCAGGTTCATTCTCAAACACATCAAGGCCAGCGCCCCCTAATCGACCATCAAGAAGAGCAGATACCATCTCTTTTTCATCAACATGAGGTCCCCTTCCAATGTTGATAAGAATCCCTTTTGCACCTAATGCATCAATCACTTCACGGTTGACAATGTAACGAGTCTCAGGAGTTAGTGCACACGCCACAACCAGGATCTCACAGTTGGTAGCCAGTTCTACTACAGTTGGATAGTATTTGTAATTTGTATTTGCCTTTTCTGATCGCGCGTAGTAACTGATTGGACAATCAAAAGCCTCTGCTCTCTTTGCAATTGCTAAGCCAATCCTCCCTAATCCTATGATACCAACTCTTTTTCCACTAAACTGCAAAAGAAAGAGCGATGAATCAGGTAAATGTTGATGTACATGTAGCCTGGTGGTATCTGGTTCATCTGAACCCTGTACTTTTGACTCGGAGCATAACTTCATGTGTAAAATCCATAATTGTCAAAGTAACTTATCATTATTGCTTAAATATCTTCTTCTACCAATCAAACTAATATCTTAAACTCGATCTGTAATAAATATGGTCATATAAAATGAAACAGAAAGAACACTAACCTTAGAAGTCAATTCGAAATCACCAGCCTTCCACAATCCCTTCTTAACATATCGATCAGACTCGCAAATCCTCCTAAGCACAGCCAACATTAGTCCAATAGCAAGATCAGCAACATCCTCAGTTAACACATCAGGTGTATTAGTCACTCTAATACCCTTCTCTTTACACTTGTTCAAATCAATCTTATCTAAACCAACACTGAAACTAGCCACAATTTCTAGCTGAGGCAACGCCTCGATAAGCTCTGCATCAGCACCAGCAGCAGCGTTGCCCACAACAGCACGTATTGAATGAGCGTAGTCGTTGATGAATTGTTTCTTGTCGGAGAAGTTCCAGTAACGTATGAGGTTGAATCGATTATCGAGTTGTTGTTCTAAGTATGATGACATTGGACATGCCATTAGTACTCCTATAGATTCCATTCTTCTTCTATATGAGGTTAGTTATAAGTGTCTGCAAGATTGGGAAGAATTGAGACTATGTTGATTCTTTATAACTAACTTATCTTTTGATAGTACAATTTGGTGGTTCTCAGTGATTGGGCTCTAAAACGTGTACAATTATCATGTGAATTATATACACATACTACATAAACGTCTCCTTGCTTCATCTTGCATCTATGTCCTCTAGCCATGGGTGTGCCAAGTAGACACTTAAACTGGTATAAGATTGAACAATTAGACACATCACACATTCGTCTTGCGTGACATTCCTACATGAAAATTGTGTGTCCAGTGTGGCATCCTATGTGCATTATGTCAAGTAGAATGGTGTGTCTATTTGTTTAATTTTATACAAGTTTAAGTGTATATTTATGCACACCAAAAATTGGAGGGCCTACATGATATCTGAATCCAAATTAAATGGCATATTTATGTATTATGTCAATTATAATTGAAAAGTGATGAAAATGTCCTCGAAATTGACACGAATTATTACTTACATTCCTGAGCTATGTCTAGTACTAAGAACACCTCTACACTTGATTAAATGAGCTTAAAAAAGACCTGAATTGTGAGTCATGACGTTGAAAGATAATTTTGAAAAATGTTTCTCTTACTTTATGTAGAAAAGTTATTTTCATTCAGTTTCGGAACAAAATATTTAAGTAACTAAACATGAAAAATTCCTCCGTACCAAACACACCTTTAAGCAAGTAAATTTTGTTATGTTTTTAATTTTATAAATGGGAGTTGGCTTTATTTATTTTAAAATAAATTAAATGGATATCACTCTTATTCTTTATTTTAGGCGTAATTTTTTAATGACATCAAATTACTCTAGTTTTTACTTTCTCTTCCTTCAAAATCTATCTTCACCTTAATTAAATGAAGTATTTTCCTTCTTAGAAAACATTAATCCAAAATTAAATAACTTAAGGAATAAAGGATGGAAAAACATATCCTGTCCCATTAACCGCATGCTTCTTGTGGATGTGGGTGAGACTATTTATTATAATGATTTTATATTGAGATAATATATAAATACATCCTCATATTTGTCCCACTTCAACAACTTAATACTCAAATTATGTGGAAATTCTATTACCAGCCCCTATATTTTTCAAATGCATAACACATAAATATATTATTTAACTTGGTCTAGGCTCACATTTATTTTCTCCAATTTTGGTGTGCAGTGTGAACAAGTGGACATTTAAATTTGTATAAAGTGAAACAAATAAACACACACATTTTACTTGACATTTTGCATCCTATCCTATGTGGTGTCCTACGTGTATAATATCATGTAAAATTCATGTGTCTACTTGTTCAACTTTATACAAGTTTAAGTGTCTATTTGTGCATAGCCAAAATTGGAGGATATAAATGTGAAATAAAGCCAAGCTAAATGACACATTTATGTTTTATGTCTTTTTTAAAAACATGAAGATAGGCCTTTGCATAATCAAGTCATTAGAGAACATAATATGAATATCAAAAGAAAAAGACATATGCTCTTAGTAAATTCGATATACTTGTTTATAATTCTTTCAATTGGAGAAGTCATAATACATAAATGTGTCTTTTAATTTTGGTCGGTTGATATAGATATCCTCTAATTTTGGATGTGCACAAGTAGACATTTAAATTTGTACAAAATTAAATAAATAGACACATTCTTCCTACGTGACATCATTCTACATGATAATTTTGTGTTCTAACTTTGGCGCATCCTACATAACGCCCTCTAGCTTTGGATATGTACAAGAGGACACTTATAATTATATAAAATTGAACAAGTAGATACATTCATCCTACATGACATTCTACTTGTATTATGCCACGTAGGATGCATGTGGACACTTGTTCAATTTTATACAAGTTTAAGTGTCTTATTATGCACATCTAAAGTTAAAAAGCATAGATGTTAGTTGAAACTAAATTAAAAAAATATAAATATTAGTTGAAGCTAAGTTAAAGATCAAATTTATATATGTATTATACCTTCTCAAAAATTAGTAAAGATTTTCATGGATTTGCTTACTGATCAAAATATAGAAAAAGATTGAGCTGACACATTCAATTAGACCAATTAGTGAGCTCACATTTGGTGTATACGGCTTATTATTATTATATTATATAGCTCATTAGAATCGATGGAATTGGTATATTAAGAAATATTTTCTGAAAGATAATACTTATCTGGTGGACAAAAAAAATATTTTCAATAAATATAAAGGCAAAATTAAATAAAAAAGTTGACCATGACAGAGGTGCACCGCCCATGGGTTTCAACCATTACTCTGTAAATTTGGTGTGGCAGGCAATTAATTCATTATCATAACCTCATGAAGTCATGATGATCGAAAAGTGTTTTGAGTTTTATCGTAACCCTCTCACAGACTTATATAGTATGACTTAGTAACTTAATACTCTTGTAATTGTGACAGTTCTTCACCTTTGTTCTTATACAACCATCTTATAATTATTGTTGTTTATAGTAGCAACAATCTTTATGTTATTGTTATATTATTATTATTATTATTAAAAGCTTTTATCATCTTAATAAATCAACCAGCCGCACTTCAATTTAAAATAATTAGTGAGGGTTATAATATATGTATGTATATTTCTATATTTATAGAGATTTAGAACTCGTTATGACATGACTTAAAAAACACATTGGACATCCAAGTTGGAAAGAAATAACAAATAAGACCTATTTCACACCTTTGATCTATTTTGGGGGGAAGGATGTCTGAATTTCATTTGTAGCAAACAACATTCATCCAAATAAACACACATACCTAATCTTATACGATTTTTTTCGTCAAAAGATTACTCTATATATATGAATAAAATTATTCGAATATAAATAGCAATAGCAACAAAAGGTAAAATTTCTATATAAAGTCATCAAATTAGAAAAGTAACTTGTTTGCTATAAAACATGCACCGCACGTTGTCTCAGCCATCCAAAAAAACTTAACACCAAAATCTCTTCCATTCTCCATCAAAAGAGCAAAACTTTCTCTAATTAAATTCCTTTCTTTGCTAATAGAAAGACGCTAAACTTTGCATTATTCACCTCCTCTTTATGCCCCCGTTTCCTCGAGTTTCAACAACTCCATAATTATATTGTTGCATTGTGTAACATATTTCAATTTAGCTTGAATCAAAAAGATGGTTCGAGCAGCGCTTGAGGAAGCGAAAGAAATGTGCAAGGCAAAGTTGTTGCATTTCAAAGGAAAATCTGAAGATGGAACAGGACAGGAAACAAAAAGTGTTACTATTGAGACCAGTAATAGCAGTGATTCAGGGGATGAATCGAAAAGTGAAGATCAGCCTGTTGATTCTCAAAAGACTGGCTTTGTGCTTAGTCGCAGCGAGTCTATTAAGTTGCGTTTGGTCAATGAGACCCCTGTTGTCTCTAGCCCACGCCCGAAACAGTGCCCACCTTCAGGCAAGACATCTTCTAATTTTGTCCATCTTTCTTACTATTCATGGTGAACTAACTACCTGCATTGTCATAATAGTACAATATAACAACAATTACGCCTCAATTTCATACTAGTTAACGAAGGGAGTTTAGATTTCTATTTTCCCTCTCTTATATTTTTCTCCGGTACCAATATAGATATGGAGCTGATGAAGGAAAAATTTGCAAAGTTGTTGCTTGGCGAGGATATGTCTGGTGGAGGAAAGGGTGTGTCTTCTGCGTTGGCATTGTCAAACGCGATCACAAACCTAGCAGGTATTGCAATTACACCTGATCACAGGGCTGTGTATATGTTCTATTTTATATGACATTCATTCTATTTGCCTATTTTTCTCAAAATGCAGCTTCTGCCTTTGGGGAACAGAAGAGATTAGAGCCAATGCCAGCAGATAGAAAAGCCAAATGGAGAAGAGAAATCGATTGGTTGTTATCTGTAACAGATCATGTTGTTGAATTCGTTCCTTCTAAACAAATATCAAAAGATGGAACATGCATGGAGGTAATTCTCTTTCTCTCCCAGAAACCCCTCTTCGCGTATATCATATATCTAGCTAAAACTAACAGGTCAATATGAATTTTTTGTTTGTCAGGTTATGGTGACAAAGCAGAGAAATGATCTTCAAATGAACGTTCCAGCATTACACAAGCTAGATGCTATGCTTCTCGTAAGAGAAAAACTTCAATTTAAATTTCAAACTAATGTAATCTATAGCTATCGATGTTTAAGCTTGGATTGATGACCAACAGGACTGCTTAGATAGCTTTAAAGACCAAAATGAGTTCTCGTATGTATCAAAGGATGACGAATCACAGGAAGGGAGGAACGATGACAAATGGTGGATACCGACTCCTAAGGTTCCGACTAATGGCTTGTCTGATGTTACAAGGAAATGGCTACAATTTCAAAAGGATTCAGTAAACCAAGTTCTTAAAGCAGCCATGGCCATAAATGCTCAAATCTTGTTAGAAATGGAAATCCCTGAAAGTTATATAGATTCCCTACCTAAGGTACAAGAAAAAACGGAAATCTTATATAAGTATTTTCATTTTGAAGTTGTTTTCTTTCTAAGAGGTGGAATAGAATAACACGTCATGACCTAATATTTTCTCTTCTTATGTGTAGAATGGGAGAGCAAGTCTTGGAGATACGATCTATAGGAGTATCACTGACGAATACTTTGATCCTGACTACTTCCTCACAACTATGGACTTGACTTCAGAACATAAAATTTTAGACCTCAAGAACAAACTTGAGGCTTCTGTTATTATTTGGAGACGAAAGATGACGTCTAAAGATGGGAAGTCAGCATGGGGTTCTGCCGTTAGCGTAGAGAAGAGAGAAATCTTTGAAGACAGAGCAGAGACTATCTTGCTTATTCTTAAGCAGCGATTCCCTGGAATTCCTCAGTCATCTCTAGACATTAGCAAAATCCAATACAATGAGGTAAGAAGCAACCTCTATTTATTTACCATAAAAGTTTTAGGCATAATACATAAACGTTGCTCTTCAGCTTTGGATATGCACAAGTATGCACTTAACTTGTATAGAGTTGAACAAATAGACACACACGTCCTACCTGTCACCCTACATGGCAATTCGTGTCCTACACTGCATCTTACGTGTATTATTCCATGTAGGACATGTGTGTCTACTTTTTTTAATTTTATATAAGTTAAAGTGTCTACTTGTGGATACCCAAAGTTGGAAGGTATAGATGTCAGCTGAGGCCTAGTTAAAGGGCATATTTATGTATTATACCAAGTTATAATGATATTTGAGAGAATCTTAGGCTTGTTCCTCGTTTCTGTATTAATCCACTTGGATGCTTTTGGTTGTAATCAGAATATCCATCTCGTATTTGTTGTTCCCTAACGTAGTTTCCTGATGTCCTAATGGCTTCAAACATAATGCTGCAACGCTAAAAGCGATCTAGTTGTTGGCCTTCTAAGTAAGTCATAAGTATAGTTTTCTCTTTTTTACAGGACGTGGGGCAAGCTGTTTTAGAAAGCTATTCAAGAATAATAGAGAGCAGGGCACACACAGTGATGTCACGGATTGAAGATGTTCTCCAAGTAGATGCTACGGCCCAAAATCCTTCCTGTGCTGAAATGAAGAAGTCTCCTTTAAGAGATTCACTACGGGTATCACCATCAGGCAGCTTCCCAAATGCTAGGGAAGAAGTTGAAAAGCTTAACGCTGCAGAGAATCCAACGTCAATGACATTGTTGGATTTCATGGGTTGGACAGTGGAACAAGGAGATAATGACACAAAGAAAGATGTGAAGGAGGACATAGACGTTGATGCAAAGAAACCACCTAGTGTAGTTACAAACAAGAAACTTTCTTACTTAGATAACTTAGTTGGTGCTAGAAGTCCAACTGCACGCCACTAAATGACGTCACTGCAGAACATTGATCAACTCATCAGAGGCAAGACAGAGAAATTCATCAAAGTGACAATCAGCGTCAAATGTACATACTAAGATGAATCACACATACCTAGGATTTCACTAAGTCATTCCTATTGTAAATAGGGAATATATAGTTAGTATAGGACTGCTGGTGTGACACTTTTTGAAATGATTTACTCTGCAGAAGACGTCACCTCGTTGACAAATAACCATGGAAATTATGGACTTTATTATTGTCCATTCTTACCTTGGATAGCCTCTTCTAAAAGAGTTTTGTAATCGGCAACTTGAAGTTTACACGTCGATATAGTATAATCATTTCGATTTAAGGCAATTCCCTTGCAATTTATAAGTAATTTTTCCTTTCAATTAAACAGTGAGCAATTATGAAGTCAGTGACTTCATAAACAAAGCTTAATTAAAAACATTAAATAGGCATTGACACCTATGTGAACCGACAGAAGTAGCATTTCAGCAAGATAAATTGAATGTCATAAGACACCATGTTAGAAAACAAGCTCCAACTTTGCAACAAGATAAACCGAATGCCATAAGATTTAACTTCTTGTAACAAAGGTCTCATGTAGGCTTCAAGAATACTTACAAGCTGGAGACCAGATACATCAATTACAATATGAAGGTTGAGAAAGCTTGATTGAAAAGAAATTAGATCTTTCCGCGTGGACCAAGCTTGGGTGGAAGTTGCGGCCCTTTCTTAATTGGTAGTATATCCCCTGACGCTGTTGAACTGAAGTATGCAAGAGTTGAGCCACCTCCCAATATCAGGAATTTGAGCAACAATCCTCTCTTGGTGAAAGGAGCAGCAAAGGTCTCAAAGAACTTGCTCTACAAAACACAACGCAATACAAGAGAAAGTTACCACCAACTTCTGAGCTTACACAGACTCAATCATTCCTTCCAAGCATAACAAGCAAACTCTTGATGATTGTCAAAACACAAACTTAGCTTAAGCAGTGGTGGATGCGAAGTAGTTGGTGCACTCGACTTTAACTGTGTGTTTAATGAAAATTTTATAACACATGTCTAGAATAAGTACGCTTCCACAAAGAAGTAGTAGGTACAGTGATACTCTATACCCCCTAACTTAAAATCTTGGATCCGCATATGAGCTTAAGTAACAAGGAAATAGTTCAATTGCATTTTCTATATGGAAGACACTAATGTCTGCAAAGGTGAGAAATCAAGTTTCGTCACTTATAGCTCTTATGTTCATTACTGAGTACTGACAGTCTGACCTTAAGTAGACCAAAAAAAATTCCGATAATTTGTCTAGAAAGGCCAGGTTGTGTTCATAATCCTCACGAAAGCTAGTTCAGCTTATATAGACTTGTGCATTATTTCCAACATGACTTCTTCTCTACTGTATTTCCTTTTTATACCTGATTTGATGTGCTTAACTTGAGTTGACATTCTATCGGAAACATCCTCTCTACCTACACAAGGTAGGGGTAAGGCTGCGTACACACTACCTTCCCTAGACCCCACCTGTGAGATTGCACTAGGTATGTTGTTATTGTCGTATAGACTTGGTTGTTAAGGCAATTTTTTATGCTCAAGTACTCCAAAATACATAAAGTTTTCCATCAACATAATTGAACCTAAGAAAGCCAACAAGTCAAGACGGAAGACTCACTTATAATAACAATAAATGAGAAGTTGAATTTAAACTCAAAAAAGTTACTAATGCATATAATATTGAAATACTCTGCATCTCCTGCCAATTTGAAAGCTATAGAGGAAAAAACATATCAATTGCAACTGGTAAAAATGATCAAAAAAGTCACTAAGACTATTGACAATTGATGACAAATTCTTCTCCTTTCCAATCAAAAGAATAACGTTAGAAACTCCTCAGACGGTCATGTTAAATGTCAATCAGAATATGAAACATGAAGTATTGCTGCAAGAAAGAATGTGTTTAAAAGGTAAAAAAGATCAAATACCTGAAGGGAGTTGTATGGTGAGGGTGCATCTGAACCATACAAGTCCCACTGGCCAGTGGTGTTGCCCAAGTCCTCTAAATCAAAATATACACTCTTGTCACCATACTTTGCAACCACAGAACCAGACCTAGGAGAAAATGTATAATCAATCAGATTACAACGATCAAATAAAAACACGCGCTTACTTTTACAGAGTGCCCTTCTTTTATTGTATACAACTGATTCTTGCTATACGATTGCACGCACTATGCTTCAGTACCAGAATGTCAAGATCGAGTTTAAATTCTATACATTGACAGTATAAATTCTTTTTTTACACTAATCAGATCATGATAACTATAAGTGAATCTTCATCATAAGTGAGATTATCAAATGTAAGAAAAATAAGGCAAGTGACTTTCCACAACAGGTTAAAACACTCATATATAAATGGCATAATACATAAACATGACTCTTAACTTGGCTTCAACGGACAACTATGCCCTCCAACTTTGAGTGTGCATAAGCAGACACTTAAACTAGTACAAAATTGAACAAGTAGACACACGTGTCCTACATGACATAATACACGATAGGACGCCACGCAGGACACAAAATTGCCATGTAGGGCGACATGCAGGACGAATGTGTCTATTTGTTCAACTTTATACAAATTTTAGTGTTTACTTGTGCACGCCCAAAGTTAAAGGTCATAGTTATCAGCTGACGTCAAGTTAAGGGTCATGTTTATGTATTATGCCTATATAAATCCTAAGTTCTCCTATATATCATGAGTTTAACATACAAATATTTACACCATCTGAGCATCCAAAAGATAAATAACAGCGGATATCAAAATATCAATGAGAATAGCCACTGAACATTTTTCGGTGAGAAAATAGTGATATAATAAGTAGGATTAGCAACCTGATACATCCTTAGCATATGAGTTTAATTAACTTCTATATATTATGAGCAGTGGCTAAGTCAGTAATTTCGCTATGATATTTAAGGGTATTCAAGAATTAATACATATGTATAAAGGTAATATTTAACCTATATATGCAATATACATTTTTGGCAAGGGTGTTCAACTGGCTAGCCTTCGACATATACCTGGATTTAGTAGACTTGACATTAAGGCGAGATGATTTAACATGTAGCTTAGTTCCAGCAATGGAGCTTCCAGCTAGGCCACTTGTGGGCTGCACAGCAGCAAGAGTTGCCAAAGATGCCATCCTTTAATTTACCTCACACGAACTAAACTAGTTTTAGGTAGTTATTGGGTTGGCAATGGATTATACAAAAGGATACATTTTTGGGTTTTTGATCATTTTTTCATGGACCCCAAAAGACACGTGGCACAATGGGTATCTTTCTAAAGATATTGAGTTTTCTTTTATGTGGTGCACACATGTGTTGAGGTTGGATAAGCCTATCCCTTTGAAGATTGTGAATTTTGTGTAATTTGTCACTTCTTTTGTGAGGCCTAGGGCCAAGGCTGCTCAAGTAACCAGAAAAAGATTGATGTTTGTGATACATTCTTTTGTATCGGTTCAATTTGTTTGTGCTACTTTCTTTTTTTAATATTTTAAATATTTTTCAGGAAGAATGTTGTGGTTAGAATTTCACTTTTTCATTCCCATCTCTTCCTTTTGTTGACTTTTGTATAATGATTTCTTTTTAGGTATAATACATAAATATGTTCATTTGTTTGGCTTTGTTTGATATTGATGTTCTTCAATTTTGAGTGTACACAAGTAAACACTTAAACTTGTAATAAAATTGAACACACATACGTCTTGTGTGGCAAAATACACGTAGGACACAAATTGTCATATAGAACATCAGGTAGGACACAAGTGTCTATTTGTTTAGAGCTCATTTGGATTGGCTTAAAAAGAGTAGTTTTTAAGTCAAACTTAAATGACTTTTAATTCAAAAGATAAAAAGTATGGGAGATCTACTTTGGTTTTTAACTTTTTTAAAGTCATTTTAAGTTTATTTTAAGTTATTTTTAACCTTGTCAAATACTTCCAAAAGCTAAAAATGACTTAAAAGTAGGTTTGACCAACTTTTAAGTCAATTCAACATGCTCTTAGTTTTATACAAGTTAAAGTGTCTACTTGTGTACACCCAAAGTTGGAGGACGTAGATATGAATTGAGATCAAGTTAAAAGATACGTTTATGTGTTATTCTTTTTTTACTATATAAAAATAATAATTAGAAAGGTCCCCTCATATAAATATGAGACCTCGTAATTGTAACTCATTTTATTGACCATTAAATTATATTTAGTGTGCATGATTTTCCCAAATATATGATCTAGAGTTGATGAATGCTAAGCTAACTACAGATGCATACTCCCAAATACTTCACAAAATGCATGTCTTCTCTAGTACTCATGTTTACCCCTATACTTGTTTCTTTGTAATTATAATTAAGACCTTTAACATAGCTTGTGATTCATAAAAAATCTAATTAACGATGGAGATGAAATATTTTTTTAATTTGGATATATCATAGAGGAAGTAAGTTAAAAACAATCAAACATGAGAGATGTATGTAAACAAGTTTCTTATACTTGAGTTTTCATGATTATTTTAAATTATTAAAAAGAGTTCTTATGTTTTATAAATGTTTGTATCGTCTGTTTTTCAATGGAAATTTTCGCAAATAGTCATTATAATAAATTTAATTATGCTCCATAGCTATAGTTTGTATATTTACGGGTTGTAGCTACAGTTTAAGTTGTCTCGTTTGGATAATTCACGGGTACGTTTGTATAATTGAGCTATTTTTGTATAAACTCAAAATAACAAATTTATACAAACACAAACATCTGAACTTTAAATAATTGTATAAATTATATTATTCAAAATTACATTATACAAAAGTTATACAAATTATATTATACAAATTCTGAATCATACAAACATGCGAATTATACAAACTCGAAACCTCAGTCCACATAATTGTCATTGAATGTTGGTCGTGAGTGGTAATAATTAACTAAAACTGTGATGACTAATTAACTAGTATATGTTTGCTTAGCCATGTAATTTTTACTTTTTAAATTGGATGGTAAGAATTCTCCAATCTAGGTGTTAGAGTAGATGCCCACACTGCCCGATGAATTGGATCGTGACCGAACATCATCTTCCTTACCAACATCTCTTTATCAATATCTATTTCAAAGCTAACAACTTTATTTGAATCAAGGTACGACTCATCTTTAGCTATCTTGTCCTTTAAAGTACTTTGTTTCTCAAATAAATAATCATCATATTCAAAATCAACTTTTTTT